GAACTGTGCTTACTAGATTTACTAAACTCTGAGCCTGCGCGAGCTGTAAGCTGTATGCAAAAAGCCGGCTACACGATTTAGCGTTGCTTCTTCTCGTTTCTATTCTCGGCTCGTCTTTAGCTACAGAACCGTCAACATTTAAGCACTCACGACGGCAACGCTGAGCGACGACGAAAACGTAACTTTAAAAAGTGAATTCGCGTTATTATTCCCCTCCCCCGCCGTCGTTGTGGGATTTGTCAAATATATAATGTTGGCCAATCTTTCTCGAGTAGGATTCTAAAGGGGTGTATCTAAGTTCAGAAAAAGAACTAGAAAATTGCTGTCATTTTTCCCTTCATAAAACGTTAAATTAGTTCATGATCACCAGCATGGGATTACCTTGGGCAGCGATCGAATTAAAACTATGATTTTTTTAAAGCTTTTTCTTGCTGCTCACGCAACTTTCTTTCGGATTATGACTCCTTTCCTTACAATATGACCGAATAAAAATTCTTCCTAGCACTCCGTATATTTGGTTTTTGTCAGATCGCATATTCTGTGTTTTCACTTTACCTGCCGACTCTGTTCGGCGGAATGAAATCCAGAAAACCAAGCGCATGAATCAAGAAGTGAGAATGTTCTTTTTTAAAGCCTTCTTTCTCGTAGCGAGTCTAAAATTTAGTTTAGTTTATCTGAGTGTTTAATCACTATTTACTTTATTACATTTCGTTTAATCGCTTTGTGGTTTCAGGCGTTTATAATATACTAAAAAAAATGAACTGGGCTATGAAAACATCTGCGCGCGTAGTTGTTTTAGGAAATACACAGTGCTTCTTGTTGTAACCGATTATTGGTTCGTTTTCTTACAGTTAATCATGATCAATTTCATTGAAAAAAATGGTATGGGCTTTTGGGGTTGGAAAAGGCGGATAAGTGATTCACGTAGTCAATTGGCGTGCGTCCTGTTCCCTGAAATAAGTTGCCATTTTGACTGCCCTCCCCCAACACGCACTCGCTTTTTTGGGGTTAAGATAACCTCAAGGGAGGATAAAAAGGTGTCGATGAATTTTAAAGTTAGAGTGGGTATAGGAAATTAAGTTCATGGGTATTAACGGGAGTTATTAAGCAAGGGTACGGTTAAATAGTTAAGGACGCTTTCTGACCTTCTCCTTAAAGGACGAAGATCAAACTCAGCCCCTATATCATAAGGTTACTTATACGCACCGTTAATAGTGTTCACTTTACAGGAAGGAGGTATAGTGTTCTTTAGATTAAAGTCACATTTCATGTAGTTTTTAAGATGTTATTTCTGACGAACTTCGAGCCCGCGAAGAAGGCAGAAATAAATATTTTGACGGCGCGAGATACAACAGGGCCTGGGTACTAGGCCGAATGCACCATGGGTAGCCATATCGGGGGTATATATAAGGCTGCGTCTATCACGTGTACGTCATCTAGGCTTACGAACCAACCTCTCTTTGGTTTTTTCTTTATTTTTTGTTTTTTTTTTAGGAGCAACCTATTCTCGATTACATTCAGTCCCTTAGGAAGGGCTGTGAGCTTAAACCTCGGTTCCTACCCAGATTTCCGGCCCGCACTTCCCTTCGGAGTTTTTTTCTGGGCAGGTTTTTTCTGGCCTCAGTCTGACCGCATTTGTTTCAGTTGTAAGCGGTAGCTCAGCTCTGCTAGTTTTCAGCTTTTTTCCCGTTTCTTATCTTACGTACTCGTTCGGTTTTCACAGTTGTGCACCTGCTCCTTTACTTAATATATTTACAATAGATGTATATGAAATAAATCTTTTGGGTTTTAATATATTTAGTTTCTATGTATGCTTAGGTCAGCTGTCCCTGACCGCTTTTTAAGTGGCGTGATATGTCTAGCTTGACGCAGTCAGATTGTTGGCAATATTGCAGACTTCTTGTCAGGGCCGTTAGCCATTTGTTTACCCTTAACGTCGTGCCCTAGCCTTAATTTCTGGTAGCCTAACTGGCAATTGGCCTACATGCCTTCTTGGGTACATTAGTGAACGATTCTCAGTTTTTTCCTCGTGCTCAGCCTCTGCGGTCCTACAGTGTTCCCTGTGCCAGTTATCCGTTGATAGTGGTTTTATAAGTTTCCTCAGACTAACTGGCAGCCTAACTGACACTAAGCCTGCCTGCTTAAATGGGGATTCAGGTCGAGATCGACCAGATGTAGCAGTTCTTTCTTTTTGTGAAAGCTGGTTAATTCACGAGTCTTGTACATTGGTTATTTACCTATTGCTGTATATATTTCATACGTACTTTTAGGGTTGGTTCTCGCCAAGCCGTCCCAAAATAAACTTATTTGTCTTTACATTTTGTCTGTTGATGTTGTGTAGAGGAGTCAAAATCATAAGTTTTGTGCGGAACATCAGGCAACACGTTTTCTCTTCTTCTGTCCGCTTTAAGCTGATTAAGACATTTCATTACACCAGATGACGAGAGATAAAAACAAGCGCTCGCTGATCACAGTCAGTCATTATTTATTTGACTTTGTAAACAAGAGTTACGCGAGGAGTCATGGACATGGAGGCAGGAAGCTTCCTATAACACCCCATACGCCAATGTAATTGTTTTTCCACATCTCAGTCTGTCCTGAGATTTAGCTTCCTCTGGCGAGAGATCTCAGTATTAAATTAATCATACATTCTACTCTCGGTCTCACCAAAAACACATAAGTAGAGACTGAATACAAGTCTAGGACAGAAAAGTTTCCCTTAGCTTGGATTCTGGCTAGTAAGGATATTGATTTTGCCGTTTAGGGTTAGTGTGGTACTACTTGAAGAGGGGTTGTACTGCTTGAAGAAGGGTGTTATTTTAAGAATAGTTGAGAGAATTTGGTTTAAGATCAAAGCGATCTCCCTTTGGTAATCAATTTAGTAATTCTCATAACCTTTTCTCTTGTTGATCTGCTAATGTTGTTGGGAGAAAATTGATGTTGGTCACTCTTGGGACCTAAAGGGTTAATAAGAACAGAATCAAAGAAAAAACAGGACGCTTATTGTGTTTACAAATACTCACTAACAGGTTATTGCGTGTTGTACTTTATGGTGAATAATTTGCATTCTTAGGATTAAGTATAATCTAGCTGGATTTGTGAAAACATAGCTAGCGAGATGACAGCCTCTTGAGTGAAGAAAGCCAAAACGCAAGTTTTTTTTTTAAATTCTTGCGTCTGATAAACAAGAAAATCACAAGAAGAAAGGAAAAGGAGCGGGAATTGCGAAAATAGAGGGAAGTGGGAGAAAGGAAGGCGGAGAAAAGAAAAGACAATGGTTGTAGCCTTAGTTTTTGTATTGGCTAATTATTTGGAGATATTAGCAGACAGATTATCTAATGGTCTTGTGCTTTTGACCTCGGCTGTGTAAGTCATATAGGATAAGATCTACTTTAGGGTTTCTAGTTCTTGTCGCGTTGTTTTTGAAACATAGTCAAAACACTACCTATTGCGAGCGGTTGACACACCATCTTTGGTTGATGGCATCACAATTCACTCCATCAGGAAATTGAGTAATTTTAATTTTCAGTGGACAAAAGCCTTTTACCAGAATAACTTATACAAGATCGCATTCTTTTTTACATTTTTCAAAGGCTATAAATGTAATCAGACAATTTCTTATGAGAGTCCGAGAAAATAAATGTCAAATTTGGCAAAATAACAAAATTTTTAGAATTTTACCTGTGTTTTCAGATTTCTTGTAAAATTTGACATTTATTTTCTCGGGCTCCCTTGAAAAATGTAAAAAAAAGAAATGCGATATTGTTTAAATTTTTCTGGTACAAGGTTTTTGTCCACTAAAAATTGAAATTACTCAATTTCCTGATGTATTCCGTCTTAAAAGCGACAAGATCTGTTTTACAAGCTCTTCTCTTGTAGAAGTGTAATGATTTTAAATTTGTAGCCGTGAACTTAATAAACGTTGAGGTGATCCAAGTTAGCCTGCAGTGCAGGCGTTTTCTTTGAGCGCGCAATTTGCTCCCGAAATCGCCATGGTGACGAACAAGGTTTCGCCCACCCAAAATACGCCTGCACTGCAGGCTAATCCAAGTTTGTGTGTGGTACTTGATGAAAAAAATAACGAGGCAACACCTTCTTTGATTTCTGGAAACTTCCATTGAAACGATTTCCATCATTACTGGGGTCAAGCTATTAAGTTTAACCCAAACCCTGAATTAAATTCGGCTTATATTATTCACTGAAGCAAAAACAGGTGGCACCTAATTTTCAATATGAACAAGTAAAGCCACCGGACGTTTTAACTATGAAAAGACGTCAAACATTTTGTTAAGGTGTTCTTCTCGGTGAGTCTTTGTTATGCTAATCCTAGCTAACACTTTGGCATCTGGTGTTAAACAACCCACTTTTTCCACCATTTACTTTACTTAAACAATGTCTTTTTAATTATGCTAAACTTTCGCATGCTCTAAGGTACTTAGAAACCGTAGTCTAAAGTTTGCCGAAATGTGTAATGTCTACTAGCCTTCAATTTAATACTCATTTTCGTCTGGTTTATATGCAGATGTACTCGCTATGGGTAATTTTGTCAAATTACTACAAATAGAAAAACTATACAAACTATCATCTCCTTGGGTATAGCTAATGCCCCTACGGCTGACCTCTTAGAAAACAGTAGGGGGGGAGATCAAAGTCATGAAAAGCGAATCTCATATATAATAGCAAGAGACTGACAACTAAAGATTATTATTGCAAAGTGTGATGGAAATATACAACTTGCAACAGCTTAGTTTATTACAAAGTGCTATGGACAGATATTCCTTTTCTTACAAAGTGCGACAAAGTTTATTACAAAGTGCGACAGGTATTACAAAGTGCGATAGAATTATTACAAATCGCCCGCCGGGCATTACGAAGGTGATCGATTTATTAAAAATTACCACACGTAGTACAAAGTGCGATGATTATTACAGATTGCCACGGTACACGACAGTACACCCTGTTGATGAAAACCGCGCTGGTAGACGGCAGAGATGAATAAAATGATTTCCTCATTCATTAACTGCTTCATCGTTGGTGCAGTTTTAGCAGCCGAAAAAGAATCTAGATCTGCCTACATCAAAACCCGAGAGAACAAGCGTTTACATGGCTATGTTGTCAAGAGAATTGATTCTACGGATGAAATGTTGTGCAGTCAAGCATGTTTAAGGCATTCTTGGTGTACCTCTTCCAACTTCAAAGAGTCCTCGAGCAACTGTGAGCTGAACAAGCATGAGTTCTCTCCAACTGATGATGGCACCAAGCTCACTGATAATCCAGGCACAACGTTTTCAATGTTTCTTAAGGTAAGAAACACTCTGAATTTTCATTGCTTAGACAACAAAAACCTCCCTAACAACAAGAACTAGACTCCTGCACCCAGGCTAAGGCAACAACACGATGTATAACAATTCCGTCTAAATAAATTTTAATACATAACTGTTCATGCATGCGAAGTTAAGTCATGAAAAAATAGGAAGTTGTTAAAACTGTACAGTAAAGTTGACTGGTTGTAAAAGGCGCACGCATTTCAGTCATATGTTTCGTATGGGAGCTAGCTATGTTTTCCCTTTCCCAAACTTTTCAGTTCTGCAACAACAAAATCATTATCGAAGGCAATGTTTTCTTCCCTAACCAGAGGCTTACTTGCAAATAAAGTTAAGAGAAGTATAGAGTGCAAACAACTATAGGTTTTAAAAAAGAGGAAAGCACGCTTAGAGCCGGCAATTAATCTGTGGAATTTTTTGTGTTCAACATTAGATTTGCGTTGTGCCGTTGAAAATGCTGTTGAAATGTTGTTGTTGGTGGTGGGATCAGTCTCGCTATCTGCAATTAAATAATCTGTATGTAGTTAGTACGTCGCCGCCCCACGCCAGAGAAAGAGTAGCTAAAACATATAAAAAGGTGTAGGAAGTCTATGAAAAACGATGTCGGTATATCATTTTAGCTTACCGAAGTAACATATGAACATTTTCCTCAGGGCTGCCTAATGGCTGGATGCCTTAACGGAGGTTCTTGTTTGTTCGACGAAGGGAAAGATGCGTTTGCTTGTTCATGCAGTCCGCAATGGAGAGGAGAAAAATGCGAAATGGGTAAGTCGAAACTGTTTTTGTTCCTTAAGTACGGTAGACAATATAGGGGAAGAGTGAAAGACGTAACCCGGCTGAAAACGAACCACACAACTTAATTTTCTATACTTAAATATACATGGCAATTCTTTTTAGAAGTAAGGAAACAGTTATAATCTGCTGGCAGGTTTCCTCTGGCAATGTAGTTGATATAGTCCTCAGAATTAATTTACATCCCGTGGAATATAAGAAAAGCATGTAACCTATGAGACTTTGGCGTTTACCGTTAGCCTTGAGTGTGGACAAGGCATTAGATCTGGCCAAATTTTATGTGACGCTCAAATTAACGTAAGTGATACCTAACACCTGGATTAACCTAACAATTACACACGACGGTCGTGTTATGCAAAACAGTCGGTAAAGCGTGGCGTAAGAGTCGTACGGGCGTGTGAGGCGAGAGAAAACAACGTATTTTTAGCGTCTCCCCCCAGTCTCGTCCTCTGTTTTCAGCGTCGTTCCAGACCTTTTGTTCGACTGCTTGCGCGCACTTGAACACGCAAAAATACGGACTGTTTTGCATTCTACCGTGTTTAAAGAAGAGAATTTGCATGCATGAATTAGATAATTATTTTGCTTAAGGCTTTTTGGCGAAAAAACTGGTGGATCGTCCGAGGAAACAGATTCTAAATAGAAGTGTAAATTGTTTAATAGTTAGTCGTAAAGAAAACAAAGTGATAATGGGCAAACTTGGCACAACTGTATTTGCGCTTTTCTCTGTCGCTGTCGCAGTTCCAACCCATGTTTGTTTGTCGCCATTTCTGCTGCCCTATGTTGCTGTTTTCAAGGTCATTTCGCTTCAGTGTCGAAACTTAGCCCAACAGGGCCTCAAGAAAGTGGCCAAAACAAGTGTATCGTAATCAACGGAGACGCACCTGATAAGGGTGAAACTATACAAAACACCACTGTTGTTTGGGCCTGATTGGTTTAAAGTCTGAAAATAAATAAAGAGAGAATGAAAATAAGACCACACCATTAATGTTTTGTATGCGCCTAATAAGCCTGCATTGCCAGAAAAACTGAGTATGGTCTCTCTCCTCCACAGGGGCCTCTTTGTGTTGTGGGAGAGTTCGCTGGGCACCCCCACGCTTTTTATTTTTTTGATTATTGCTATTCTTATACAGATACCCAGCAGGAGCCTCTGCAGAGGAGAGAGGAGTATGGACTAGTCTTACATGTCACACGTCTCCACCCCCTTAGCCGTGGGTCTCTCTCTCCCCTGCGCCCTTCACGGGTTATGGGGAGGAGACGAATGACATTTCAGACTACCTATGGACATTTACGTTCATCCGGGGATTAATAAAGGAGGTATACATAGAAAACACATTTCCTTTTTTGTAGGTAGATAGGGAAGGACATAACGAGCAATCCATTTGTTTTACCATGAAGTGCTGTGTCGTCTGGCTTAGCCACTTCCCTTATTATGGCACGCAATCAAAGAAAACAGTTATCATCAAAATGATTTTCAAATGATTTTGTACGAAAAATTTCAACAGACGACTGAAGGAATAATTCATTAAAAAATATATTCTTCTAAATAAGTCAATGCATTCTATTTATTATTTTGCAGACATAAACGAGTGTGAGACAGGAAAGCGTCACTGCGACTCCAATGCTTTCTGTAACAACACTAAAGGCTCCTATATTTGTACATGCAAACCAGGATATAACGGAAACGGAGTTAACTGCACAGGTAAAATAAAGAAGCGAAAACCCCCAGCCGATAGCACTGAATAACATGATAGGAAAGCATTTCTATTCAACAAATCTTTTCGAGTTCCATTATGGTGTATGTTACATCTTTAGGGGTTCTTTAAAATCGGTTCCAACATGACAGCATGTGATAGGCCACTTGTTTATGGTTGGCATTCGAACAGGCTCACTTGTGCGAGTTTGGGGTTATAGATTTTAATATATAACCCCCCCCGCTCCAAAAAAAAAAAGCAGTGGTGCCGTCAGCGGGAGCCAGCGAATCCGGTGATAAGATTAAGGCCATTAAACGTTAAAAAATATGTGCATATTCGGCAACAATTAGCGGGATTAGTGGTTTCTGTCGCGGGTTTTTCCATTTTTTCATGACTATATTTTGCTATCTGCCGCAAAAATCTCCTCGTGCAACTTTCTGTCATTTTTGTTAACACTTTGCTGTGTTCCTATTGGATAAGATCTTGACACCTCTTAAGGGGCGAAATTAAAAAAAAAATAGCCCGTCTGCTAGCGATGGTGGCACAACCACCAAAACAACCCCAAACTCTCACAAGTAAACCCGCTCGCAGACTAGTTTATCGTTTATCTCGCGATAGTCGTTACTTAGTTATTCATTCACAACGTTTCAAAGTGCGTACTTTTGGTCTTAAATAGGCAATTGTGTCGAGTGTAGGTGGGCTAATACTTCCCCCGTAGTTGCTAGTGATTAGCATTACGAGCCCGATTTATGGTTGGTGGGTTTTCCACCAACCATGCGGCCTGCCGAGTGGTACTAATCGGCAGCTGTGTTGTCGATGTCTGATCGTGGTTATCCACGCTTCTGAAATCTCAACGGCTGTAATCTCAATGCAGAGTGTGAAAATAAGACGATATCGTTAATTTTTTGTATGCGCCTAATAAGCCTGCATTGCCAGAAAAACTGCGTATGGACTAGTCTGAAATGTCACACGTCTCCACCCCCTAACACGTGGGGGCGCGTCCCTTCACGGGTTTGGGGGTGGAGACGAATGACAATTCAGACTACGTATGGACATTTACGTTCATCTGGGGGTTAATAGGTATACAGAGAAAACACATTTCCCTTTTGTGGGTCGGTAGGGAAGGACATAACGAACAAACCGTCAGTTCAGTCTTCCATGAGGAGGTGGATCGTCTGGCTTAGCCACTTCCCTTAGAATGGCACGCAATCAAAGAAAACGTCGATCATCAAAATGATTTTCTACGAAAGATTTCAACAGAGGATCGACGGAATCATTCAGTAAAAACTATATTCTTCTAAATAAAGCAATGCATTCTATTTACTATTTTGCAGACAACAACGAGTGTGAGACAGGAAAGCATCACTGCGATTCCAATGCTTTCTGTAACAACACTAAAGGCTCTTACAATTGTACATGCAAACCAGGATATACTGGAAACGGCGTTAACTGCACAGGTAAAATAAGCAAGCGAAAACCCTCAGCCAATAGCACTGAATAACATGATAGGAAAGCATTTCTATTCAACAAATCTTTTCGAGTTCCATTATGGTGTATGTTACATCTTTAGGGGTTCTTTATAATCGGTTCCAACATGACAGCTTGTGATAGGCCACCTGTTTATGGTTGGCATGCGAACAGGCTCACTTGTGCGAGTTTGGGGTTATATATTAAGGCGGCGGTGCCGTCAGCGGGAGCTGGAGAATAAGGCGATTAAACGTTAAAAAAGATGTGTATATTCGGCAACAATCAGTAGCTGGATTCGCGGTTCTTGTCACTGCTTTTTTCCCTTTTTTCCATGACTATATTTTGCTATCTTCCGCAAAAATTTCCCCGTGCAACTTATTGTTGTTAACATTTTGCTTTGTTTCTATTGGATAGTGTCTTGACACCTTTTAAGGGGCCAAATTAAAAAAAAAATTTCCCCTCTACAGGCTCGCTTATTTTCCCCACCCCATTTTTCTTGCCAACTCAAGAGCTGGTGGCTCCACGGCCAAAAAACCCCCAAACTCTCACAAGTAAGCCCGCTCGCAGACTAGTTTATCGTTTATCTCGCGATAGTCTTTACTTAGCTATTCATTTACGACGTTTGAAAGTTCGTACTTCTGGTCTTCATTAGGTAGGCGATTGTGTCGAGTGTGGATGGACTAATAGTTCCACCGTAGTTGCTAGTCATTAGCACTACGAGCCTCATTTATGGTTGGTTGGTTTTCCACCAACCATGCAGTCTGCAGTGGTAATAATCGGCAGCTCTGCTGTCGATATCTGTTATCCAGTGAGTATCCACGCTTCTGGAATCTCAATTTAGGGAGTGTGAAAATAAAACTGATATCGTTATTGTTTTGTATGCGCCTAATAAGCCTGCATTGCCAGAAAAACTGCGTATGGACTAGTCTGAAATGCCAGACGTCTCCAATCCCTGACCAGCGGGGGGGGAGGAAGGGGCGCGTCTCTCTACCCCGCGGCCTTCACGGGCTAGAAGGTGGAGACGAATGACATTTCAGAATACGTATGGACATTTACGTTCATCCAGGGATTGATAAAGGAGGTATAAAAAGAAAACACATTTCCCTTTTGTGGGTTGGTAGGGAAGGACATAATGAGCAAACCATCAGTTTTTCCATGAAGTGCTGTGTCGTTTGGCTTAGCCACTTACCTTAGTCTGGCACGCAATCAATGAAAACGGTAATCATCAAAATGATTTTCTACGAAAGATTTCAACAGACGATCGAAGGAATCATTGAGTAAAAAGTGTATTCTTCTAAATAAAGCAATGCATTCTATTTACTATTTTGCAGACATCAACGAGTGTGAGACAGGAAAGCATCACTGCGACTCCAATGCTTTCTGTAATAACACTAAAGGCTCTTACAATTGTACATGCAAACCAGGATATACTGGAAACGGCGTTAACTGCACAGGTAAAATAAGCAAGCGAAAATCCTCAGCCGATAGCACTGAATAACATGATGATAGGAAAGCATTTCTATTCAACAAATTTTTTCGAGTTCCATTACGGTGTAACATACACCGTAATGGAACTCGAAAAAATTTGTTGAATAGAAATGCTTTCCTATCATGTTATTCAGCGCTATCGGCTGAGGGTTTTCGCTTGCTTATTTTACCTGTGCAGTTAACGCCGTTTCCAGTATATCCTGGTTTGCATGTACAATTGTAAGAGCCTTTAGTGTTGTTACAGAAAGCATTGGAATCGCAGTGATGCTTTCCTGTCTCACACTCGTGAGCCAACCATAAACAAGTGGCCTATCACATGCTTTCATGTTGGAACCGATTTTAAAGAACCCCTAAAGATGTAACATACATCTTTAGGGGTTCTTTAAAATCGGTTCCAACATGGCATGCGAACAGGCTCACTTGTGCGAGTTTGGGGGTTATATATTAAGGCGGCGGTGCCGTCAGCAGGAGCTGGCGAATAAGGCGATTAAACGTTAAAAAAGATGTGTATATTCGGCAACAATCAGTAGCTGGATTCGCGGTTCTTGTCACTGCTTTTCCTCCTTTTTTTCCATGACTATATTTTGCTATCTTCCGCAAAAATCTCCCCGTGCAACTCAGTACTTTCTGTAATTGTTGTTAACATTTTGCTTTGTTTCTATTGGATAGTGTCCTGACACCTCTTAATGGGAGAAATTAAAAAAAAATTTCCCCTCTGCAGGCTCGCTTATTTTCCCCGCCCCATTCTTCTTGCCAGCTAGAGCTGGTGGCTCCACCGCCAAAAAACCCCCAAACTCTCACAAGTAAGCCCGCTCGCAGACTAGTTTATCGTTTATATCTCGCGGTAGTCGTTACTTAGTTATTCATATACGACGTTTAAAAGTTTCGTATTTCTGGTCTTCATTAGGTAGGCGATTGTGTCGAGTGTGGGTGGACTAATAGTTCCACCGTAGTTGCTAGTCATTAGCACTACGCGCCTCATTTATGGTTGGTGGGTTTTCCACCAACCATGCGGTCTGCAGTGGTACTAATCTGCAGCTGTGTAGTCGATATCTCTTGTCCAGTGATTATCCACGCTTCTGGAATGTCAATTTAGGGAGTGTGAAATAAAACTGATATCGTTATTGTTTTGTATGCGCCTAATAAGCCTGCATTGCCAGAAAAACTGCGTATGGACTAGTCTGAAATGCCAGACGTCTCCTATCCCTGACCAGCGGGGGGGGAGGAAGGGGCGCGTCTCTCTACCCCGCGGCCTTCACGGGCTAGAAGGTGGAGACGAATGACATTTCAGAATACGTATGGACATTTACGTTCATCCAGGGATTGATAAAGGAGGTATAAAAAGAAAACACATTTCCCTTTTGTGGGTTGGTAGGGAAGGACATAATGAGCAAACCATCAGTTTTTCCATGAAGTGCTGTGTCGTTTGGCTTAGCCACTTACCTTAGTCTGGCACGCAATCAATGAAAACGGTAATCATCAAAATGATTTTCTACGAAAGATTTCAACAGACGATCGAAGGAATCATTGAGTAAAAAGTGTATTCTTCTAAATAAAGCAATGCATTCTATTTACTATTTTGCAGACATCAACGAGTGTGAGACAGGAAAGCATCACTGCGACTCCAATGCTTTCTGTAACAACACTAAAGGCTCTTACAATTGTACATGCATACCAGGATATATCGGAAACGGCGTTAACTGCACAGGTGAAATAAGCAATCGAAAACCCTCCGCCAATAGCACTAAATAACCTGATTTGAAAGCATTTCTATTCAACAAATTTTTTCGAGTTTAATTATGGTGTATGTTACATCTTTAAGGGGTTCGTTATAATCGGTTCCAAATCATAGCATTTGATAGGCCGCTTGTTTATCGTAGGCATGCAAACAGATGCAAACAGGCTCACTTGTGCGAGTTTGGGGTTATATTGCTGGTTTTCAGTGTCACGCCATTCAAAATAGATCAAAATAAAAATCAAAACCATTCGACAGATAAAGTCCAGAATCTGGGAAATGAAAGGAGGTAAATATACAAAGACCTTCGCCAAGAATTGAGTCTAAGGAATAATTCGTGTACGAGATATCCGAGGAAATGTTTTAACCAAATTTATAGAACTTTGTATGGAGACGCCATGCTGGAGCTCATCCGGATGAGCTCCAACATGGCGGACGGAAACCAACAGAAACATCTGTTACCGAGTTTTGCTACAAAAGCGTGAATTTACTCGTAGAGGAACTCATAAACATTAACGTAATACTTTTTCTAATACTTGAACTGTTTAGATAGCAAAATTCCTCGAAAAAAGTCACTTTTTTAACCTAAATGACAGCTCTCTCGGCCGTCATGTAAATGTTGCATCACGCGAAGGCTTAGAAATTCAAGCGTACTCTATTACAAAACCAAGAAACTTTTGAAGCGAAAATTTGTTTGAAAATTGGTTTTCAGCTACTCTTATAACACCATGAAAGTAAAATCTCAGTAGGATCGATAGTTTTGTAGTTTGAATTTTAGTGACGTCATCTGAAAACCAACAAAGCGGTGGTGCCGTCAGCTGGAGCCAGCGAATCCCGTGATAAGAATAACGCGATTAGACGTTAAAAAAGTATGTGCATTTTCGGCAACAATCATTAGCTGGTTTTGTCACGACTTTTTCCCCTTTTTTTCATGACTATATTTTGCTATCTTCCGCAAAAATCTCCTCGTGCAACTCTCTGTCATTTTTGTTAACATTTTGCTTTGTTCCTATTGGATAGTATCTTGACACCTCTTAAGGGGCGAAATTTTCCCTGCCCCATTCTTCTTGCCAGCTAGAGCTGGTGGCTCCACGGCCACAAAACCCCCAAACTCTCACAAGCAAGCCAGCTCGCAGACTAGTTTATCGTTTCTATCTCGCGATAGTCGTTACTTCGTTAAACTACTACCTATCAACAACACAGCTGCAGATTAGTACCACTGCGGACCGTATGGTTGGTGGAAACCATAAATGAGGCTCGTAATGCTAATCCCTAGCAAATAAGGGGGAACTGTTAGCCCACCCTCACTAGTACTCGACACAATCGCCTACAATGAAGACCAGAAGCACGCAGTTTGATTTGCTTGCCGAAATGTGTCAATATTCGACGTGGCGTATATGCGTTTGATTATTTCCACATATTGACAATAAAATTCAAATATATTTGATTTTGTTCAATACATTCGATAAACTTGTAGCAAAATTCGATAAATTCGCCTTGATATGCATTCGATTCTCTCCTACATTTATGAAACAATTCAAGCAATATTCATTCGATGATTCGAACAAAATTCATTCGATAATTCAAGAAATAGTCATTCGATGATTCGATCAAAATTCATTCGATAATTCAAGCAATATTCATTCGATGATTCCAGCAAAACTCATTCGATGATGCACGTGACCTTTCTTCCATATTAGGATAGAAAGCTTGGCTACTGAGTTTTCAATAATGGCGGAACAAATATTGAATGGGAGTCTTTGGCGCTTAGCCTGCTCAATTTACTGGATAAATGTGAAATAGATTCTGAAGAGGTAACCTATCCTATCGCACCTAATGTATTTATTGGCGTTAAAATGGCTCTTTGTGTTATTCTGGTGGAAGGTGTTGACAGGCCAAACACGACTCATAAGTGTGATACTGATAGAGGGTATTATCAAGATGTCCGTAAAAGCGAGGTGTCTGCAAGTATAGCGGACAACTCGAATCGCAGTGACTTCGTCGTAATTATGCCGCACAGAAGAAAGACGGAAAAGCTACCACTTTTTAATTAAATTATTTTAAGGTTTAAACGTGAAGCTTTATATAGTGTAAAATAATTATAATATATTTACTTTTAATGGTATCACTTATAAGACTTTTTGGAAGAGCAAGTAAACCGTGCGAACTCACAAAAAGAACTTTTTACATCTTATCAGCATGAATTTAAAAATGTTTGCCTAAAAAGAAGAGTTTTCAGCAGGTTTTAAAAACTGTCAACAGACTTTGTTTCCTTGACGTTCTGTATACACAATTTCATTACTATGACTTATACAGTTTTTTATTCATGCTAATGGAAATTAATTGTAAAATATGTTGTATAACTTAATTGTTATTGATATGCATTTGAAAACTTTTTGCGAAACAAGTCAATGATATAAATCTGCAATAATTAATGAATTAATTCGGTGATTTCTTTAAGTAACGGTGCCTCTGGTAAAACAAGTTCATTACGCCTAACACAACTGATTAAATCATGTAATTGTTGTTATTTCATCTCTGGTAGCTGGGAGTCCGACGTCTGCCTTTCGAACCTGCAAGGAAATTTACGACAATAATAAGTAAGTTCAAATATCAATTGCGCTAACGCTTGCAACTTCTAGTTAAGGGTTCATTAGTCGATCCCTTTAACTGAGCCCTGCGTCTTTTGCAGTTGATGAAGTTATTCAATAGTCTTTTATTTATTTCCGGCTTTAATGGGCGGACGAAGAGAGAATTTTCTCGTGGGAAGCAACCGTAGAGAACTAGCCGACAAGATTTGCCACATACCGACAATTAAGTGACTGATTTAATCCAGCGTTCTCATGGCCTCGAGCAAAAGCGGACAGGGAAAAGCGAATTCCATCATTCAGTTTGAATTTATATTTTTGACAGAGCTCGCGGAAATAGAGCCTATGAACTTCACATGCAGTCTGGAAAGGTGTTGGTGTACTGTCACATGACAAGCCATGGACTTAGCGCATGTGGAGGTGGGGGATGGACGCTGGTGATGAAAACTGATGGCCATAAGGTATTGTTACAATCTGCTTTATCAAAATTAAGGAAAAAACATGAACATACTCCGCCATAGTTAACAGCGTCGTGAGACTAACATCCAGGTTTAGTTATTAATCACAGTTTTAAAAATCTATGAAAAAATTGCTCCTATAGACTTTTTCAATAGAGAATTACACGTTTACAAATTTCTTATTTGATCTCTTAATCTGTTTTATATTTATTTCCATCGCAGCCAACTTTTCACTTCAATTCCAAACTTTGGAGCAACAAGGACAGTTTCAACCTCACAGGAGGAAAGACTGGGATCGACGCAAATGAGACTAAGCTTCCAACCTACTGGAACACACCCTTCTCAAAGATCTGCCTGGGGATGAGAATCGGACACCAGGAAAAGTTCGTTGTACTCTCCAAGCAAGCCAGTTCCCTCCATTCACTGATTTCTGATGGTCTTTACCGCCCTACCTCACTGGGTCGCAACAAGTGGAAGTCGCTAATTGGTTCCGAAGCTTCCCTACAGCCTAACTGTAACCAGGAGGGATTCAACACCAAATGGAGCCTCAGCGATCCCGCACAAGCCCTCAGAGCAGCGAGAATTGGTATCCTTGGTAACGAACAAAACGACTGCATTAGCTGTGACTCCAGAATCGGGTTTGGTACTGGAGGAGACCCCGATGACACCAACACGTGTGGAAACGAAGCTTTTGCCAAGACAGGGGCAGATAATGGAGGCAAGCACATCAAAGCAATGGGATACATCTTTGTTCAGTAAAATTACAAGGGACTAGCACTTGTGCATAACGAAAGAGAGAATTCCTAATAAAAGCATTTCAAGTGCTGTCTATCAAAGGATATAATTTTGATGTTTTGTTTAGTTAAGTTGTTTCTTTGTTGGTTCATGTTTGTTTGTCGTTTTGCTGAAAAAAATATTTTGTGGTTGACAGTGGTGAGAAGAAACTGTGCACATCACGACCATGGGATTTCGCCTGGTGCAGTAACCTCGCATTCGTTTACATGCAACTTTGTAGAAGAGTTTTGTTTTTTAAAAACTTGACTCGGCACGAAGTTTGTTGGATGTTGGATGATGATGGTATTTTTGTAAGTAAAACGTTATATAATAACTTTGTGTTTGCGGAGCTTGTACAATAAACACGTTTTTGAGCAATGAATTTCTTAATTCATTTGTCTGATTTTCACTTAAAGCCACGTTTAGTGTCTCATAGCTCAGATAAATATTGAGCTGACGTATTTGCAGATCTTTAAAGGCTGACAAACTTAGGGTGAACGGCAGATACAGGGAGTGTTTGGAAACTAGGAATGACATAGTTTCTACCTTTCTTTTTTCTACAACTTCTGCTTAGACTGATTGGATATTTTTCCATACTTTTGGCAATAACATTATGTGAAATAATGCTTCAATTAATCTGATTCTTTACAAGTGAAACAAATGAGCCTCGCCAGGTTGTTCATGTTCAAGGGTCGTGAAGTAAAAAGCTCATAGACAGATTGATTTTCAGTCAGTAGTGCATGATATAATTAAGGTGGCTCGGAAGAAAAACTCCTAGCACTCTTCACAGAAGTCGAACCTATGAATTTCTGGTCACTAGTTGCAGGTACTAATTTCAGCCGACATTTGGCGACGCTACCACTAGTTTCCCCGCCAAATGACGTCTGAGAAACGAGAGCAGAAATTCCATACTGATAACGAGTCACCGTTACCCATATCTGGCTAGTACTTCTGATTGGTTGAATCAAATTTCCCACGCAGCACGACTAATCAGAAACACTACCCAGATTTGGGTAGTGATGCGTCATCAGTATGGAATTTCTGCGCTCGTTTCTCAGACGTCATTTGGCCGGGAAAGCAGTGGTAGCGTCGCCAAATGTCGGCTGTCTTCTCAGGCTACTAAAAAGTTACCACACTGATTTTGAGTGTAACTCTGGTGTTAGTGACAGACTGGATGTCGAGAACTATCGATGGGCGTTGCACTTCACCACTATGGAAATCAATAGCTTTTGTTCCTCCAATGTTTCCTCTCAAACAAGTGAAGCTTCATTTATTTGTACTCTGAACTTGGTTTTCAAGACAGGCATAATAATTTCTTGATGCAGTTCTTAAAATCTGTAGATTCACTAGTGCCCTCTTTTATCAGTGTTATATGCTAGCATCAATCAGAAAATATCAAACAAAAGTGTGTCCACATCATTTATGGTTGAAACAAGAGCTGGTGATAAGCTAAGTGAAAACGGGCGCAGACTCCCAACATGGTTGAGCCAACAATGTTGGCAGTTGTTGCATCCGTGTTGATCGTGGTGTGCAAACGGATGCAACAACTCCTAACGATGTTGGGACCTGCAGTGCATCGCGGGAAGGATGCAACCCATAAGACTTTGGAAACCATTTGTATAAATGAGCGTGCGTGACCCCAACAATGTTGGAAGAGCTGTGCAAACGGATCCAACATTGTTGGGCTACACTTCAGAGATCACAGAAGAAAAGAAACATTGGGAGTTGTTGGCTCATAAGTTTGACAGGTTTCAAACTTTGCGCAACAATTCCCAACAACGCCAGGACGTGTGTAAATAACTAAATAAAATATGTTTTAGTCATATATTTGATCCTCTGGTGATGTTATTGTAAGTAAATAAGTTGCAAAAGGGGCTTGTTAAAGTGATCTTTATTCACAGTGCTTAGTAAAGTGACATTTAGTCATATGTTCACACCCCGGGGGGATACTCTCTTAAGTCCAGTGTCTGAAATAACCCTGAAACCACATCATGTTGTGCAGTGGCACATACCCGTCTAGGTCAAACAATGGAGTGCTCCCTCTCTCCTACCCACGGAAATCGCGTATGTTGCTGTTTCAGTTTTTTGTATATAGTATGTGTTCCAGATAGCATGCTCCACACTTCCACCCGAATAACCGGAGTACCCGAAAGTCGAAAAAATAGAAATGAAACTCGGCTAACAGCTACTTTGCTATATAGACTCGCTACAAATAGTCGACCTCACGAGTTCCTTGGTGAGAGCAGAGTAGGCTTTTTAGGCCGCGAAGCGGCTAAGCAAGCGACCATATTAAATCGGACGAAGCACTTTTTTTAAAATCTACGTTGCTATAGTGTTTAATTAACTTTGTTTTTCTGCTTTTGTTTTTCGCAATAGGTATAGTAAAGGGGATTCGAGGCCCAAAAAGTGTTTCGTTCCTACTCGCCACTAAGAACGACCGGGCTTTATAATCAAGCTACCTGATCGCTCGCTCTGTTTTCCCGTGCAACTTCTCCTTTATTCAATGCTTCTAACCCACTGGATAAGGGCTGTCTGGATTAGGGTAGCCGTGCGTGTTGAATCAAAGAACTTAATTCATTGATTGACTCGATTTTCCAATCTGATTTACGTACACCCGAAACAGTTACGCTCACTGTTTTGATTAGCCAATGGGGTAACTTATATGCGGTAATATTTTCACGTTCTGATTTCAAACAATTTGAACTGAAATATTCACTCATAGGAAATAGTTGCGCATTACGGTTTCTCACGGCGCTAACGAGATTTTCAGTAAACTTCGTGAAGATAATCGAGTTAAAAGATTACTCAACAAAATGCGACACAGTCCCAGTACTAGGGTTTGGTTTATCATTTACTATTTGGCTATCTCGGCCAACCCCGCCTCTGCGTCTAACACTGAGAAAGCCATCAAATCACTTGAAACAACGCTGGAGAGAAAATTCAATCAACTAATAGCTGTAGTGAACGCCACAGCTCATAAAACATCAAACAGTGGGCCCGGTACGTTTTATTAAGACTACGACACTAAAGGCATCTCGCTTGTAAGTTAATATGATGGGGCTACGCGATACTACACATAGAATACCGTCGCATTTCATGAACCTTCATGCTACTAAAAGATAGAGTGTACTAAAATGAACCAAAATGGGACGAGCGGCACGTTTAGAGGGGTGTTTGCGTATATAATAAGGTCAATAAGGGCCTTACGAAACTACAACGGTGACGGCAAGGGGAACGTCAAAAAATCAATAGTTTTAATGAGCAAAACAACATTTCGTTGCTGTCCCTGGACAACTACGACGTGAAATGACCTAATTTTAAGTTTACTGGAGAACGGAAACGTCAGGGCGATAAATTCTACCATCTCTGTCTGAACTCGGGCGCGGTCCCCTCTCTTCAGCTCCTACCTAAATTCTCTTCTCTTTTAATTAAGGGACAGGGCAAATTGGTATAATCGCGAAAAAGTTTAAAAGGATGCGAAGTCTATTTTTCTGCGATGTTTTCATGGACGTTGCCGTTGTCGGAACGGAAGGTCCCTACAGTGTATGTGCGGGTCTTCACTTTAAAGATACTATTATTTATTAATTTAAGGCTATTAATGGCCTTCTGAGGAAAAGTTTACTTTCGGTGAGGCGAAACCTAGTTCAATTAATGATAAAACCTCGCAAAAGTAACTCGCTATGGCGCTATCGGACATTTAATATGGAGGGCAGTTGTTTTCGCGTTGCGGCACAGTATCTTCCTTTTTTCAACTCAGGTGTGACAATAGCTGAAATTGCGTAATTTAATTGCTACTGAACCGCATTTGAAAACTAATCTTCTTATTCATATTTTCGAAATATAAATTAACAAATCAACAATAAAAATCTGCAATATTCAGTGAATTGATCCTGTGATTACCTTTAGGTTATGGTGCCCATGGTAATACAGTCACTTTCATTTACGACTAAAGGAACTGATCAAATTATGTTATTTCATCTCCAATAGGCATGTCTGTTTTTCGAAAGTGCAAGGAAATTTACGACAATCATAAGTAAGTTCAAATTTGACTTTGCGTGCAATTTCTTAAGGACAAGAAATTGAAGTGTAGAGTTCGTTAGTCTACCACTTTAACTGAGCCCTACGTTTTTTGCATATGATGACATTATTCAATAGTCTTTTACCTTTTATTTCTCTATCAAAGCTAGAACAGGGCATAAGATCAATTAGGGATGACGTGTCAACTGTAAAGAACTAGTAAATTCTCCCCCCCCCCCCACCGTCACTTACCCACAACGGCCACTTACCGACAGTTTAATGAGTTTTCATTCAGCGTTCTCCGTCGCCTTTTATTATTTCACTCTTGAATGGCCTCGAATAAAAGCGGAGAGAGGTAAACAAATTTCATCAGTTTGATTTTTTTGACAGAGCTCGTGGAAATAGAGCTTATCAACTCCAAATGCCGTCTGGGAAGGTGTTGGTGTACTGTCACATGACAAGCATTGGACTTGGCGCATGTGGAGGAGGGGGATGCACGCTGGTGATGAAAACTGATGGCCATAAGGTATTGTTACAATCTGCTGGCTCAGAATTAAGGTAAAAGCATGAACATGGTCCGTCGTAGTTAATGCTGTAATTGGCCAGGATCAGTTATTAAAAATGTAGTTTTGGGTATCTGCTTAGAAATTGCCCCTGACTTTTTGTGATAACCTTTTGCAGTTTAATAGAGAATTATCCGTTTACACATTTCTTTTAATTAATTTATTTATTTCCATCACAGCCAACCTTTCACTTCAATTCCAAACTTTGGAGCAACAAGGTCAATTTCAACCTTCCAGGAGGGAAGACCAGGATAGATGCAAATGAGACTAAGCTTTCAACCTACTGGAACACACCCTTCTCAAAGATCTGCCTGGGAATGAAAATCGGACACCAGGAAAAGTTCGTTGTACTCTTGAAGCAAGCCAGTTCCCTCCACTCACTGATTTCTGATGGTCTTTACCGAC